TCCTGTCATAGCTTGTTGGTGTGGCATGATGACTCTGCACCCCAGGACCTTGCTAACTCTGCCTTTCAGGCTCTGCCTATACATTGAATGAACACTTGTCTTTCCTTTGCAGGATGGAAATCCATTTGGTCCCTTCTGGGATCAGTTCCAAGTGAATTTTGATAAGTCTGAGCTCTTCAAGGGGATTTCCTTCAGTTCTGCGTACAAGGACCATTGGATCCAAAGGTAGCAAGAAGATGGAAAAGCACTGGCATACCACTGTAGGCATTTAGAGTAACTCATGAAAACAGTTGTGTGAGTCACTGTGTAAAGCCTTTGCAGTTTGGGGGAGAAACTGAAGTAGTTAGTTTGCAGTATAATTAAAAAACTTAATGCTTTTTCCATTAAGTATTTGCTGAGCATGTTCTTCCTGTGGGCAGTTTTAGGTGTGAACTCTGTTAGGCTGATTGATTTCTGAGTCAGTAATATTTAGTTGGAGTATTTATTGATTATATATGTATTTATTCTTCAAAAACATTTTTGTTCTCAGTTGCTAATCATAAACTATATTTTGCTGGTTACCTCATGTTTTCAGAGCTACTTGAGTCAGTAAGTTTGGGTGACAGAATTGCTCTAGTCTGGGTTGAAAGTGTAAGTTCTCATTGCAAGGTAGCTCATGGCTATGTGTGTAAAAGTCTTATCTTTTGTCTGTCGAATAATACTAATTTGTTTGTCTGAGGTAAAACACAGTGCCTGAGTTTTGCTTCTGTGTTTTGTTCACATGGCCAAATGGTTAGGATTCGTCTTGGGTAAATTTGGAGCAATAGATGCTGCATGTTTCAGCATTAGTTTCCATTCTAAGCTTCACGAAATTAATGCACAGTAGTCTTTGCAAGATGAAGCATGCAAGCTGGTGCTATGTTTCAGTCTGCTGAGGTTTTTTTCTGTAGGTTTTCACCATCTGAGCACCCTGTACTTGCCTTACCTGGAGCTCCAGCCCAGTTTCCTGTCTTAGAGGAGCACCGGCCCCTCCAGAAGTATATGGTGTGGTCTGATGAAATGGTGAAGAAAGGAGAAGCCTATATTCATTCTCTGTTGGTCAGGCCCTACGTAGGAATTCATCTGAGGATCGGCTCAGACTGGGTATGGTTCCTGTGTGAGGCTGGTTGCTGTAGCCTGTGCAGTTGCTTTAAGCTGGTGGCTAACGCCTGTGGAAGAAGCTGCCCAAAGAGGAACTGCGCTTCTGGGGTGGCAGCCTGAACCCTGCTGGCATGTGATAACTCACTGTGTGTTAAAAATGCTGCTGGGATTCATCTTTCAAACAGGCTGTAAAGCTGCTGGCAGAGGTGGTGGAAGTGGTAGTGTTTTCTCACACTTGGCATTCAAACAGGATATTTTTTCTTTTTCTTCTTCCAATAGAAAAATGCTTGCAATATGTTAAAGGATGGGACGGCTGGGCCGCACTTCATGGCTTCCCCTCAGTGCGTGGGCTACGACCGAAGCGCCGCGGTCCCTCTTACCATGGACATGTGCCTACCGGACCTCAAAGAGATCAAGCGTGCTCTCAAGCTCTGGGTGAAAAAGACAGAAGCTAAATCTGTTTATATTGCTACTGATTCTGAGCCCTACACAACAGAAATACAGCAGTTCTTCCAAGGAAAGGTAGGTCTTTCAGGAACCTGTTCTGACAGGAGTGCTTTAGTAAAAACTTTCCTTGGATTCTGGCCCGTTGCTGCCACAGACAGCAGGCAGGCAGCTGTGTAATATGTCATTCACAGACAAATATTGGCATTTCAAAGTAAATTTTGATCGTGGGGACAAAAATTATACTGTAAAACTCTTCCTTTCCTAGAGGTTGAAGAGCTTTATCCCGCACGGTAGTAAGTTTTTTCTTGAAAAATACTTCAATTAAATAAACCTGAGTGATTTTCAAAAATGTTTTGACATTTATCTATTCATACGTGAGTTATAGCGCAACCTAAGACAGAATCCACTCTTTTTTTTGTTGTCTATTCCCATTTCTAATATTATGCCAAGGCATTTCGATTTTAATAATAGATGACTGGATTAATTTTCTTTCCTTTTTTCCCTGCAGGTCAAGGTTGTTAGCTTGCAGCCAGAAGTGCCTCAGATTGATTTGTATGTTCTTGGCCAGTCCGATCATTTTATCGGGAACTGTGTCTCTTCATTTACTGCCTTTGTGAAAAGAGAGCGTGACGTGCATGGAAAACCCTCTTCGTTTTTTGGCATGGACCACCCACCAAGATTACGGGATGAATTCTGACCAAAAGAGGAACAAGCTCCATAGTTCTCAGGACTCTGAGCTTGGTACCTTGCTGAGGGACCACTCGGTGCTAACAGTGTTCTGCTGCCTTCAGAGCACACTGCCAGACTGCCACAGAGCTGCTTCAGCCTGTGATAATCCTCGCAGACTGTTCTGTCTGACTGCTGTATTTCCAGCATAAGGTCAGACAGAAAAGTAATTTTAAATCATGTTTAGTTTTTAAGATGTAGTTTATATAGTTCTCCATTCTCACTATTTGGGGTTTGCCAGCAATCATGATGAAGCAGCTGCTCAGATTTCCTCTTTTTCCATTTTTTTTTTTTTTTCCGTTAAATCTTAAATTTTACCTGGAGATGTTGTGAAGCTTCTTGGCCAAAACTGACCATAAGGTTTTTTTAAGTGCAAAGTATTGTCAGGAATATCACATTCCCTGGAAAGGAGTGCAAGATAAAGCTCAGGACAAAAAATTCAAAGATCTGGGTTTTATCAGGTACTGTTGTTGCCTTACTAGAGCCATGTCACCTCAGTGCCTCAGCTTCCATGCCCCCGTCGAGAGATTTCATACCTGCTTCGCAGCGGGACTCTGGGGCACCTGTATCTCTTCAGTAGCACTATTGAAGCGCAGTGGGGCCATGTTTTAATGTGGCAGCTGCCTCTTTAGCCTGTTTTCTATGCACCTGGGGAGAAGGCATTTGTTTGCAGGGCCACATGCGGGAGATCTTTCATAGCCAGTTGAGAGATGGAGATTTAGGGCTTGTAGCTTTGTAGCTGTTGATGTCAGGTGGAGGTCTGTGGTAGAAATGAAACTGGTTTTGAGGTAAGACTTTTAAAGTAGCCGTAGTGGGGTTGGTGTACGTCATACCTAGGTCTATGTTAATGGTTTCTTTGTCTATTTTGTTAATTTTTTTGTTTGTTTATTTTTGTACTTTGTGAAATAACCACTCTGACAACAGACCTCTGTCTGGGGGGGTAGTTCCCAGTGGAGATAACTGTGGAGAGTGTTTGCTGATGGTGAAACACAGCCCAAAACACCTTAATTTGGCCCAGTGCAGTTTAGTGCTGGTAACACCAAAAATCCTGGTGTGGTGGGACTCGACCAACGCCCTTTGCTACTCCTGTGATTCTTTTTTTTTTTTTTTTTTTCTTTTTCCCTCCAAAGTCTACAGACAGAACCTACTGTTCCATTTTAAAAAATGAGTTTCTTGCAGAGAAAGAAACAGTGCAGCCCTGTGGTACCAGGGCTGGCTGCCTCCAGCACACTACTGAGGTCTAAATGCTGCTGTCTCTGAGCAGTTACCGGTGTTTAACTCTAAATGTCTTCTTTTTTCTGGGGGAGCGGTCCTCCTTGGAAATGTTCCTGAGCTTTGAAGGAGTTTGAAGGCTCAAGGGAGTGAGCAAGAGAGAGCTAAATGAGATGGTACCTGAAGTGTCGGGGTGGCAAAGACTTGTCTATTGTTTCCTCAGTGCTGGCTTCCAGAAATGTGTGGGATTTGGTGGTTTTGGGGCCTCTGGCCGCATCCCGGGGGAGCTAGACACCTGCACGCTCCTCGCTTAGTGATGTTGGAGGATGCCATCAGGGCCACCTTCCCTCACTGCAGAGCAAGGGCGGCCTTTCTGCATAGTATTGGGAAGACAGTGTATTAAAATAAAATGTTTGGGTGTGGGTTTTTTTTTTTAAAAAAAAAAGTATTTTTTTGTAATAATAAACCCCTGATTTTGTATTCACTTGTATTGCAACGGTATTCCTTCCTCCGTCGCTGTATTCCCGGCTGAGCCCCACCGCGAGGCGGCTGCCTTCCCCGGCCGGGGGGTGGCGGGGCGGCAGCACAGCCCTCCCCGGCTGGGGCAAAAAAATGCCACTTTTGGGATTTGTGGAAGGCGAGGTGCGACCTGGCCGGGGCCGGTGCTGCCTCCAGGGCTCGCGGTGCCCCCGGTGCGGCGGGGGCTAAGGGGAGGGCGGCGGCCCCTTTGTCCCGGCTCCATCCGGGCCCCGGCGGTGGG